TTTTTTTAATGCAAATATATTATTTATCTTATGTCTACTAATCGATGTGATTTAATTTGTAATTTCTCGGTAGGTTTCATACAAATGAAAATAATTCTCCCACACAAACTTTCCAAATCCAACGGCAATAAGGGCTATAACGGGTTGAAAGATAAATATTATTGAAAGTGGAGTGAAAAATTAATTAAATCACCAATATTGTATTGTTATTTGGTAGGTTTGTTAAAGAAATTCATTTTCAGCCATTGAAGGTGCGTCAAGATGATGCCACTTGGATTTATATAAAATTCAGAGAATTATTTATGGTGAAAGTTGTCAACATCGTTTTCCTCCAAGGTTAAAAAATGATTTTATCATTTATATCTCACAGTCTCACTGGCTGCAGTGTACTTCATCCCACACGTGCAACTCCGGTAAAGCATGACCAACGCACGTGTAATAGAATTACATCCTATGAAATTATTCTTATTTTTAAGGAACTATGTAAATTGGAAAGTTGAAATATTTTACCCCAACTTAAAGTCTGACATTTCCGGAAAATTAAGAACAAAAAATATTTAAAATTTATTTTGATAAATATATTCTTTTATTTATATTAATAAATTCATAATTATCTAAGAAAAGTTGTTGATGACGTAAGTTGTATACCTTACTCTTCTCTATTTAAACGAGTTTTATCGGAAAAATATATTTTGAAATGGTGATTTTTTGGAGAATATGAAGTTAAAAAAGAAGAAAAAGTATTGGATTTATGTATAATATTATTTTATTGAAAAATATTATTAAAAAGAAAAAAGAGAAAAATATATTAAGGGTGTGTATGATTGTCAATATTTTTTATGGAAAATATGATTTTTCACCTAAATTTAAAACTTTTGTACTGTTTGATTGACTTTTTTTTCATGGAAATATTTTCCTATTTTTGGTCACGTGGCCATATTTTCTTCAAAATTAAGAAAAATATTTTTTTAGGGGGAATATGATTTTATTTTTTAGAGAATTCACTCTCCTTTTCTCTCTCTCATATACACATCAATAAAAAAAGGACAAGTATAATATTTTCTAGGATAAAAATTAAATCAATCAAACACATTTAATTGACAATTTTCGTGCAAATAAGTTCTAGTCAATTGAATTATCTATAATTTATTTCTTTTCATACAAATTCCACACTTGCAATCAAACGCACCCTAAAATTTTAATAGAGTCCAAACAGTGTCTAAAAATAACAGAGAACAATCAAATTACAATTCAAATTAGATATATTTCATTGTCATAAAGAAATATACTAATAGAAAAGGCAAATCAAATTCTCAGATTTGGGAAAAAGAAACGAAACTTTTATTCCAAAGTTCTTAAATGTTCTATTGAAACTTTTAATAGACGAGATGTTAACTTTTCAAAAGTGTGGGGTCGATAGAGCAGAAGCTCGAGTTCATGGGCCATGGTGGGGACGAAGATGGTGACCTCCACTTGGCCCTGTTTATTCTATAACGTTAAAAGGAACGAAAAGAGTACCTTGAATTGTATTTGTTGGAAGATAAAGTAGGAAAGTACTTATATGATAAATTTGGCAAAATAATTTATAAATTTTGATACGTACATCTAAAAGTGTGAGCTAGAGATCTATTCGGATTGGATGAAGTAGACTTAAGGCCCTGTTTGAGTCCCATTAATTTCTTGTAATGTATTATAGAATAATAAATTGATGAAAAATGTATGGTTAAAAAGAAGAATTTTTTTAATTTGCGTGTAATATTATTTACTTAAAGAATGTATGGTTGAAAATAAGCACCGCAGAAAAAATAATGGGGGAATGGAAAAAATGGGGCTCAAATAAGGGCTAAATCTAAAAAGAAGATGTAGTCACAAATGATAAATTTTATTACTTTTATCTCTAGGTGTATTACGTGTCATGTGCATATTTTGTTCTGATTTTTCACTCTAAAAAATCAATTTTTTTATCGTTACTTTCCTAAGTCAACCGTCATTTTTTACTTCTTCATTCATATGAGGGTCTTGTTTTTCTCTTTAACGATCAAAAAATCAATTCTCATAATTGCTATCGAACAAACCTTATATTTATTCACCTCTCCACATAATCAGCGTCGGTTCAACCTCCACACATGATCTATTGAGGCATAGTTTTACATGAATTATGTTGGGCTTGGTCGAAGAGAAACAAACCTTGCGGTCATGTGTAAATTCCTATTTTAATATTATCATATCTAACACATATCAATTAAGAGATCAGTGTTGGAGTTTTCTCCTATGTGAAATAAAATATTTAGGATTTCCAACATTTAAAATGGAGTTTATGAATCTTGAATTTTTCCGAGTGTATAGAAGCTGGATTTTGTGAACCCTACAAAATAGAAAATGTCAAAAATTAATCCACCCACTCTCCCCATTGTGAAGTGTCGTAACCCTTACCTGTGCATCAAGTGCTTCTCATGAATCTTTAACCTTTCATTGTAATAGTATTAAAATCCTCAATTGATGAAAGCGGTTTTGTAACTATTATAAAGTCAAAACCTCATCTTCATAAGACCATTATGCCTTATTCTAAACTAACAGTACGAAGAAAAAAATAAAAATAAATAATAAAGGTATTTAATTTTACTATTCTAGACTTAGACACTAGAGGACTTTGAGAAGAAATATTCCTTTTTAAATCCAGAGGACCAAAACCTTCTATTTCTCATAAATTGGGGACCATAATTGTAATTTATTCACGAAACAAATGTTTCAATGTAGAATTGATTTCATATCTTAGTAGACATGATAAAAAAATCTTATTGCTGATGTGACTAAGAATCTTAATTATGATTCTTTGAATCTCTAATCGTTTTAGAGAAATGTAACTAAAGTTTCTCTTATCATATTAGCGACGAGAAGTTCTTATTTACCATTTTGGTTTAGGTGAAAAACAAAATAGTTAAAAAAAGTTTTTGTTCATTAAATTTTTTTTTTTTTTTTAATGATTGGTTAGACTATTTGATCATTTACTTTCTAATTTTTCTGATCAATATTCTATTCGATTTTTAAAACATTTACTACTCAATTCTAAATACAAATATTCAAAGTTCATCAGTGCTACACTTATAGAAATTTTTTTGCAGATATTTTACATAATACATACAGTAGTGGGGTCCACCCCCATAAAATATTCACATGGGGTCCACGCCCATATGATTAGCCTGTAGAACATCTGTGAAATCATTCCTGTACCAGGGCACTTTCCTTCAAAGTTAATTGTTTATGACGGAGGAAAGAAAATTTCAACCTGGAGATTGGAGAACCATTCCACTCAATCAATTATTTTGATGCCTGCAATTTTTTAACAAGATATCAAATCTTTTCCTTTTTGCAAAAGAATAATATCTTTAAAGACTCGTTGATTTAGTATAAGGGGGTGTTTGATAGACATTTTTTTATTAAAATGCATTTTAGAATAGTAAATTGATGTGAAATGTTTGATTGAGAAATAAGAAAAAGTTTTTTATTTACATAAAATATTATTTTAATAAAGAATGTGTGGTTGAAAAAAAAAAAAAAATACATTTTGAAAAAATTTATTGCCAAACGGGGCCTAAATAGTTGATTGAAGACACCAAGGATATTATAGTAATTCTCCATGGAACAGCTCGACTTTGTGAGAGAGAATTCAGCAGCACCATAAATCAATTTCCTGCATGGGACCCACTTCAAGTGGTCCAAAATGCAAGAAAACATTAAATTAAATCAGTGGGTCCGACAATAATTGAAACCATTCGATCATTTGACACGAAAACCAATATGGAGGGATGTCGATAGGCTTATTTGCAAAAATGGTCCATCATATATTGACCATGATTTAACTCAGGACCTATATTTTAAACTTGGTACTGACATCTTCATAGTAATGATTTTCTAAATACCCGTGCTTAACTTATATTAAGTATTGGTGTCATGACACCCCAATTAATTGGTGAATTATTAAATTCAAGAAACTTATCATTGACTTATTCATCAATAAATGATGTGTCATATCATCGATGTTTAGAAAATTATTTCTGGACATCCCTGTATGAATGTCTAAGTGCGAAAATAGTCATTTCAAGTATCGTCCAACCATGAAAAAGCCATTTTTTATTTTATCGAAAAGGTTACTATGCCTTAAATTTAGTTAAATTAAGTAGAAATTAAAAATTAAAAAACAAAAATGATTCATCTTTCATCAGCAACTCACCATTGCCCTTTCCCAGCCTCTTCCTTTCCATAGCCACCACACCACCTCCCAAATCGTAAATAAGACATTATTTCTAATTAGTTTTTTCTTCATGATCTTTCACTCTTTTTCCTCTTCTCTATCTATGTTTTTGTATTTTATTATATGTTATAAATCCAAAAAAATAATTTTAAAAAATGCATCTTTTTCTCCATGCATTGGTAAAAGATGTAAAAGAACTATTCATAGACAAACTTTAATGAGCCTTTTGCAAAAAGCACAAGGCTTGAGTCCTCTTTTAGGAACCAACAATTCTCGTTATAAGATAGAAATATTGGAAAGAGAAAGAGAAAGAGAAGATAAAAGAATTTCGAATCTCCCTCTCTCTCTGAAGTGTATCTTTTTTTTTTTTTTTCGGAAATTCTAAATTTGAAGTAAGATTCTACTATGAATGAAGGCTGGATTTGCGAAATGTAATTTTGCATTTGGTAATAGACAACAAGGGAAAGAAACCATTCTTTCTGCACTTAAGCGTATAAGGACTTCAGTGCCTGATTGAAACAGTAGACCTTGATTCTACGGGAGGGCATAAATGAAGGACCATTTGTGCAAATAAATCATCAATTTATTGGAATCTTGGCTTTATTCATGTATAGGCAATGTGGGCCTTGATGAGGGATTGGGTCTCAATCATTCGACATGGACGTTATTGTCCACTGACATATGACATATTAAAAAATTGGTTTGGAATCCGATTTAATAATGGAATAAAGGTGGTTCAATTGCATGAAATCATCAATATTATAATTCAGGCCAAAACTATGGGCATAGCCGCATAGTCTTCTAACAATTCCATCAAACATAAATAGGAAAGCCTCAAAAAGAGCCCTTTAAAGGCTTAGTTGAGTGCTCATATCTTATCTCTCAATTCTTGTAACGTAATTGTGCAATCTTAGCCATGTTAGACAACAAGTCGAACTCGATCTTGAGATCGTTAATCTCCGGCAATAAATTCGGGCTAAAGAAATATGGCTCTGGTGGTGTGGGATTAGGCATTGTGGCTGCCCTCGATAAATCTTGTGAGGGTAATCTAGCCTTGTGTGGTCGGAATTTGAATCGATCCGACCCAGTTCAGGTCAATTCACCCAAGAATTCGTCGAGATTTAGGGGTGGTTTAGAGGACAATTTGGAGGAGGATTACACTATAGTGACCCGTCATGGTCCGAACAAGTCCTATACTAGGATGTATTTTGATGGAGATGAACATGGCAGAAAAGGTGATGACAGAACCCCCTTCAGAATACAACACAATAATATAAAGACTATAAGGGCAAGCGTTTTCGAGATATCTCCGGCGAGATCCATAGAAGCTGCTGAATTTCCGGCTTCTGATTTTCTCAGTTCATGTCATATGTGCCAGAAGAAACTCCATGGCAAAGATATATACATGTACAGGTATTTTTCCTTCCCATACAGTATTCTTGAGTTCAGTTTATAAAACTTACTCAGAAAAATATTGATGATCCATTTGAACATGATTTGCAGGGGTGAGAAAGCATTCTGCAGCACAGAATGTAGATACAGACAAATAGTGATGGACGAGCGCAAAGAAAAATGCAGATCTGAAGCTTCAAGATCTGTTGATGTTTCAAATTCACCTTATACAAATGAAACAATATTTTCAACTGGAATTCTGGCAATTTAGACTGAATAAATGGCTTCAAGATTCTCTAGCCATTATATATATGATTAGTATATACATATGGTACAACTTATTTTCTTTGCTTTTAAACCAAATTTTGGGAGAACTTTATGCAAATGAGTTAGTTAATTTTTAACTTTGATTATCAGTTCTTGGTTGTTGGGAACAGTGCATATTAGATTAAAATCAAAATTTTCGAACATTTTTATATAAGTTTATGTCACGTGTAGTTGAAAAGTTGTGTCTTCTACTGTGTGTAGTTCAAATTAAATGTCGATTTTAACTTAAATTTAATATACTTTTTTAGCTGAATCAAATAGGGACTTAGGCTATTGAGCATAAATCTTGCAAATGAAAAGGAAAAAAAATTGTTATTCTCTCTCATTTTTCCTACTCCCCTTCCTCATAAAAAAAGACAAATAAAGACATATCTGCTTTTGTTAAAAATTTTAATGACTTATAATTTGGTTAAACTCTAATTTTATTCTCATATTTTATAGGTTTTACGACTTTTATCTATTACTTAACAACAGTTTTCTTTGAACACACTACCGTAATTTTTTAAGAGGAAGTAAATTAGGTAGTACAATAGACAAAATTTTAATTTTCTTTTTGTTAATCTCTGTTGATAAAATATTTTTCTTTATCTAATAGGTTCACCAAATTTACTATAAAAGATAGATATTTAACAGAAAAAAATATTTACTTTTACGGAAAGCAACCTCAATAAAAAAATTAAAAAAAATTAAAAACTCACGTGCATTGTAGACATGATAATTTTGAGCAGGGGCGGAGCCACAATTTTGATCCAATAGATGTTTAAGTGGGAAATTTGTTTCAACCAAGAAAATAACACATTTGTATTAAAACAATAGAAAAAATGTAATGTATTAAAAAAAAAAAAAAAAAATTTCCCCTTTTCAATTGTTGCATAATGGGTAAAATAAATATAAATCGAACTTTTCATTGGAAAATATCTTTCTATAACTTCATACGCATCAAACAGAGCAAACTTAGCAAATTTTGAATCAAAATATTGTCACAAGTCAGAACTTTAAACTATAATAAACTTGTAATTTTAATTGAAACCTTAACTTCTTGTGGTTATAAGGTAAACAAACATCAAATTGTCAAGAGCATTTCAACATAGAATTAAACATGTGGTGGGTTTTTACAAATTTATTACACGAAAGATCAAAACTAGAGCAATGCACCATTAAAAAAAAAACCTACAATTTGAGATGTCGAAAGTAGATAGTTTTGATGAATAAATAAATAATGAGCTATTTTTAAATGATCTATGCATAAGAATTTGTACATTCTTATTTGCACAAGTACTAATTTCGAACTCAATATAATAAAACACTTGCAAATTTGAGGAATATTAAATTTTAAGACATGGGAAAATCTAAAATGTAAATGTAAAAGAGAAGCGTGACACAGAGAGGGAGAGAGGTGAGTAATTGGTAAAGTAATTGAAAAATCTTTAAGTTAAAATTACTAAGTTGACATAATCTTCTAAGAATTTAAATTGTGAAGTTTAAGAAAGGAGGCCAAATTAGGAAATTAAAATTTATTTAACCAAAATAAAATAAAATAAAAATCCGGACTGTGGAGCAGTTGTAAAGAATAATGAATTTCAATATTTTCATTGATGGTTAAAAAAAAAAAGAATCTTTAAAAGTCTTTATGTAGTACAATATAAAGTGAGAAAATATAAAATGATAAACCCTAATCTGTTGGTGATAAGATACAAAATAGTAAAACTCCAATCTATTGGCTATAATGGTAAGTCCTAAACTAATGATAATGGTTTGAACTATAACTGTTAGGTCTAAAATGTATTGACTAGTTCCGTATTCAAAACTCCATTTAATAGAGTGGTAATTGAGGACAAGTTGTTGGAGCGTGGGAGTTGGGAGTGTATTTGGAATGAATCAAAGTCAACTCAAGAATATCAAGACGAGACAAAATCACTCGCCGACCGTCGATAATCACTCTAGTGGTCTTAATAGGGATATGACCGCTAGCTATGCACCACATGACCATTTGAACAGTCTGTTCATTGGTAAAATCCTAGTCATGATTTTTAGAACCCATTTGGTACCATTTTTTTCAAAATACATTTTTCTCTCTTCTTTTCAACCACACATTATTCATTAAAATAATATTACACGTAAATCAAAAAAATTTCTTATTTTTCAACCACATATTTTCCATCAATTTACTATTTCAAAATACATTTTTACATAAAAAAATGGCTCTCAAACACTTTCTTAGTCTATTCTACAATCCTAAACAACCTCAAACACTTTATATTTTAAAGAGTAATGCTTCGGGTACATAATGGGGATTATCTATACCATTATGGTGTCTATTATGTTCAAGTAGAATAATTATATTATAAATACCTTAACTATAGGTTGTCCGTACAGAGTGTTGAGCATCTATTCATTCAAGAGAATACTTTGTTGAAGATCAATTACATGATATCCATAATTCTCTTGAATCAGCCATAAGATCAGAACAACAAAATAGCAAAAGATGAAACACCAACAAAATCATTTACTAAATAGATTTTAGAGTTCCGAAGATTTGGAGAGGTGACTGTAGTTCCAGTTTGGGAAGAAGGAGTTCGTTCTTAGTGATCTGCAAAGGAAAAAGAAGTCCAAAGTTTCTAGAGTTGGAGCTAATGCTGGAGTGCACAATCGAAGAGTTCTTCGGTGATTACAAGTTGGGGATCAGAGTGATATGATCCAGGAGTCGAGCCCGACGAAGGCAAGTACGAGACGAGACCCGTTGATAGTCGATGGCGGACCAATGACGCGATCAAGGGCAAAGCAAGTGAAACAAGCGATGAGATTGCTCGTTCAAGAAACTATTGATGGAAATATGTTCAGGACTCAAAATGGGACAAGTTTCGTGTTCGGGTCAAAAGCCGAAACAAAATGGATCAATGCGTTACAAACAGCCGAAAACGAGAGTGTGCAGTGCAACCATGCGGCCGCACAGCATGATACCGAGAATCAAATGGCCAAAAATCTTATTACCATACGGCCGCACATGTTATAACCATGCGACCGCATGGTTCATTTCTGGGGCACGATTTTCCTTTTTTTTCGCGTTTTTCCTTATTTTACTAGAATTTCATTTTTAATTAAATTCCTACCATATTGGACGAATATTTTAGGAATTTTGTTAGATTATTAGAATTATATTTCCTTTTGACTTCTATTCGAGGAATAGTATAAATAGGAGATTACTTTTGATTGTCTTTTGACTTTGAATTAATATTATAGAGAGAAATTTCTTCTTTCAATTTAATTGTTCTTCTTAAACAATTTTGGAACTTATCAAGATTCAATTTCTTGTGGCGTTCTATCAATTGGATTGTGGGTTCTTTCAATTGTAATCAAGCGGTTTTAGGTTCTTCACTAATCTAGGGTTTCGTCGTTCAATTATTGGGGTTCAAGATCCAAAACCGGGTTAGTATTGGCGCTCTTGGGTTCCACATCAATCTCGTTGTGGGTTTCGTAGTTTCCATTGCTACGGGGTTCGCATCAGTTGGTATCAGAGTTTTGGCTTCAATTTAATCAGGTTATATCCTTGTTTTTCTAATTTTTTTTTCAATTCCTTGTGTTCTTGTGTCTAGAAGATTTTCTTGATCTTTAATCCAAAAAATTTCATCAAAAATCTTCAAATTTCGTTTTTGGGCTCAATTTTCGTCCAAATCAGTTTTCGTTTTCTTTGTTGGTTTTGTTATTGATTTTCGGATCTAAAAAAATTACTGTTCATCTGTACGGTACTGCACATCCGTACAATTAAAAAAAACTTGTCAAATAATTATTGATCTGTCAAAAATCAACTATTATTATTCATTATCGTTTCTAAATTACTTGGACACATTGAATCATTCTATTCCTTCATTCAAATCAAGTTTTAAAAGTTTTCTTCGAGTCCTTTGTTACAATTATTGAGTCAGATCCGATTTGGGGAATTCTACGCGAATTGATTGATTGATTGAGTTCATTGATTGTTCCTAGAAGTAATTGTTGAAAGAATTGAGTAGTAAAAGGCAGAGAGGTGAGCTTAATAGAGGGTAAAAGCCTTGTGTGTGTGTTTCCGAGTGACTTTTGGTGAGGCAGTAAAATAAAATTTTAGTGTTAGGATGTCAGAAAGGGCAGAATCAAACTTAAGTCGACAAGGCAATAATAGCAATGCAATGGAGGATTTAGTGCAAAGGTTTGAGAGGGCGTTTGGAGATGTGAAAGATAGGTTGGAGAAGCAGGAGGCTTGGATAAATAGATTAGATACATCGGTGGCTAATCTTAGTCGGGGGCATCGAGTGGATGTATCCAATGCCAGAGGACCGGATAGATGGGAGTCTAGAAGGGAAAGGCAAGAGGAGTATGGATATGGGAGTGACATGGGCGAAGATGAATTTCACGGTGTTGAGATGGGAAGGATGAGAAATAGAGGCGATAAGTTCGACAGATGGGGTCGGAATGATCGCGAGAAGGAGTTGGATGGAAACTTAGGAAATATAAAAATGACAGTTCCTTCATTCAAAGGAAGGAGTGATCAAGAAATCCATAAAAAACTGCAAAGTCTATATCAAGGGTCGAAAAGTGTAGAGGACTATCATAAGGAGATGGAAATACTCATGATTAGGGCCAATGTGGTGGAGGATCGGGAGGCTACCATGGCACGATTCTTGAATGGGTTGAATAGGGAAATTGCCAATGTAGTGGAGTTGCAATATTATGTGGAGTTGGAAGACATGTTGCATGTGGCTATGAGGGTAGAGAGACGGCTGAAGAGGAAAGGGGCAGCTAGGCAGCCGTTAGGAACTTCGAGTGTTAATCCATCTTGGAAGCCAGGGTGGAACAACAACAACAAAGGTGATAAAGCAGTACCTAAAGGTAGGAATGAGTGGCAGAAAGGGAAAGAAGAAAGTGCTAGCAAAACAGCACCCAAAACAGATTCACAACCATCAAGGAATTGAGACATCAAGTGTTTTAGATGCTTGGGGTCAGGACACATTGCTTCTCAATGCCTAAATAAACGGGTAATAGTTTTGTTGGATAATGGAGAAGTGGTGAGTGAAAGTGAAGGAGAGTTTGAGGACATGCCTGTATTGGAGGACGTTGAAGAAGA